GACCGTTTGCTTGGGCACGCACATAAACCTCGCCAAACATGCAGCCTTCTTATCTGAAGATATGGCTTAACTGGGAACGGAATTAATCGGATGATAGTTTTTCCCGCGCTTTGAAGACCTACGGTCCCCGGAGCTGTTAGTCTTTTGATGAGTAAGACACAGGAATATGGACTCCTCGTGCTGCAGCTGACATCGAGCCAAATTCCAAGGCTAGCGTTAGGGTTGGTGTCTGGGTTGAGATTAAAATCACAACATGTGAATTGGTACCAGCCTGGAATTTGACGCGAGACCACCTGTAAGATGCTGGGTGCATATTCCGTGTTCGACTCATTGCGATATCTTACATAAGTCCGCGCTAGAGGTTCCGATTTTCTTTTTATGTGTAAATGACCTTTTAGTGGTCTAACTCCGAGCGCCTGTCGTAACACTGGGCCTTTCACGAGTGTCTGCACTTGCACATCGGCTTTCCAACTGGTTAATCAGATTCAAGGCCGAGTCAGGCGTGCCCTGGCATAAGACGCTTTGCGCATTCTCTGGCTGACACACTTGGGACGCCGCTCTCCTGGCGCCAGGGGCACTTTCCAAATTCCAGCCCCTTCCCTAGTTGTTTGGTACAGAATGTACAATCCTCCAAATCGGCGTCCGTCTTGTCTTTCTATTCAGGATCGGGATTGAAGGTGGTGGTAGCCATGGTCTCACTCGCGACTTAGGCATTTATGATAACCTGGCTCAGACCACGTTGGGGCGCGAATATGCGTAACCTCCTGAGCATTCTTCAAATTAGGTGTCTTCTAAGGCATTAAAGCAAGCATGCAGCGCAAACACGGTTTTTCGCCTTTTCTATACAGTAGGTGGGCTAACTCATGAAATGTCAACTGAAATTCCGAAATGCGGTTTCGTTTCGAAAAGTAGTAGGTTTGCAAAACTAATCATTGTGCAGCATAATTATATAATAATTCAGTTAGCTCAGGATGCCGGCTTTCGAACGAACTTCTTTCAGCTGCACGTAAAAACTATACTTTGTGAAATGATTACTCAAGTAGCATGCATTTTCTCACTGATCTCCGATGCCCCTAAAATTCAATTATATTTCATGGAAAACGTGCATAAATATATTCATTCTTTTTCTCATTTGGTAGGAAATTACGTTTTTTTCAATTTTGTACTCGAAGGAAGGGTATAATTCGGGTTTCAAAAACCATTCCAATTCCCGGATAATCTTGAACCCAACCTGCCGTTACACTTACATTCAGGGTTTCAAAACTGCAAGCCGTATATTTTCTGCGTGCAGAAAATCATTCATTTCTCTACGGAATGAAGAGGAGACCATGTGTGGTTCATAAAGTTTAGCAGTGGATTTGAGCCATATTGTTGACTTCACAAGCCACATTGGTAAATGCAGAGGCATGACACTTTATGAGAGGTCATTTCACAGTATTAAAGAATCTCACAACTAGACGCTTTTCTTAAACCTAACTATACCCTTTCGTTGAGTATAAACGTGGGAGAAGGTGTACTTTTCTAGAGAAAGAGCAAAAGAATGAATATTTTTATGTATATTCTCCATGAAATATAATTGAATCTTTAGGGGCATCGAAAATCAAAGAGAAAAATGCATGCTACTTAAGTAGTCATTTCACAGAGTATAGCTGGAAAGAAATAAGTTCGCGAGCCGGCATCCTGAGGTAACTGAATTATTATAGAATTAAGCTGCACAATGATTAGTTTTGCAACCCTATTTAACTAATCTTTTCGAAACGAAACCGCATTTCGGAATTTTGGTTGACATTTCATGAGTTAGCCCACCTACTGTACATGGGAACGCCACGTTTAAACTCCCAAAATGCACCTATTATCACTATTCCGGTACTACAAATGGCCTTGCGTAACTGCTTGACCGGGATAGTTTCTGGCACTTGTTTCGTGTTTGCAGTTTTAGACTGAAATCTTCCTACGGACCAGAGTCTGTCTTATTAAGGAAAACCTGATAAAAGTGCGCAGGTGGATTGGCCTGTGGATCTTGTGACAAGTTTGCTGGAATCGCAATTTCTCAAAACAACGCCGAGACGCTTACCTTGTCGTTTGTCCAGAATCACGGTTTTCGGAAAATCCCAAAAGCAGGCAACTAAGTCTATATAATCCATTAGAAATCTATCCTGAGCAGCCTCTAGGGGGTTTTAAACTCCCAACGCTCCAACGGGGGGGAGGAACGTGCGGACCCCATTTAGGCTGTTTAAAATTCTCCGTGCGACAGACGGTGTGAGCTTCGACTTATTTTAATGGAGAGCGACCCGAGCTAGTCTGAGCCGCCCACGGGATTGCGTGTCTCCTTCTCCGTAAGGCTTTTCAAGGTGAGGGGGAGGGAGGGGAGAGAGAGAAGGGAAAGCAGAGTTACCGCGTGTGGGGACTCACACAAGACCGGTCAAGGCGGTTACCGAGACGTGGCCGCCAGGCAGGGCTTAGATTCAAGGGGCCACAGGCGAGAGCTGGGTGCCTGTTAATGGACGCCAGGCGTAGTCAGCACCTGCACAAAGCAAGTGAAGCGACCTACTGTGGTCCATCACTTGGACCGAAAACCGGACATGCCTACAGCCCTATTTCACCAACACAGTCATACACGTTATCATCAGGGAAATCCAGAAAAGCTGTTTAATTCGCAAGCTTAGGTATCTGTATTCGGCAAATGAGTTTTTCACAGTGTATTGTCAACCTGAAGAATTACCTGAAGATGAGTTTTTCACAGTGAGTTTTTCACAGTGAGTTTTCAGAGTGAGTTTTTCACAGTGTATTGTCAACCTGAAGAATTGCCTGAAGAATTGGCAGCTCCGCCTACAAGACCATATCTACAACTACTTGGTCGACAAATGAGACTTGCAGGGTCAGACTTTGTGGAAGACATATATCGCCCATTTATCTTAGCTGCGCTTGTGGATAATAAATCAGATTTATCAGATTTATGAGTAGTTGCGGCGATCACTTGTCGTCATAAGTTCATATAACACTTCACACGCTACTGTTGTTATCTGCTGGGACGTGTACAATAGGAGACGAATGTGTTTGACTCTCCTACATACCTCATTCCAAGTTAGCTTTAATATTTACAAATGCCATCAGACTCCATTTAGTTTCCCTAAAGACCTACTAAACGTCCATGCCGCACATGCGGGTCAAAAAACACCATTCTTGTTTACCTACAGACCTGTATGCCTCCTGAGTCGAAAGTTTTAGTTCAAGAATGTGGTCGAATGGTTATCAACGAGGTCTGAGAGAGACACGACAAAGGCCTCTTTTATACTTATTAGTATGTCATCTCAAGAGATGCATCCTTTTCCGCGCAACTTCATGCGGTTTTAAGCATTCTTTACCAACGAATTCGAACTTTCTACCTCATCATTTAATGAAGTTGTAGTACATTTTTAAAGCATATAAGTTGGTTTACAAAGGGACAACGACAAATGTAACTTCTAAAGTGATGGAATAAATAGGAGAGGAGAAATAACTAAGTCAAGCCAAGGTGACATTTCTGTAGATTGTCAAGTTTCATTCAACGAATTTCAGAAGGATTTAGGAGATAAGGGCAATTGGCTGTCACTCAGACTCGACGCACATGTAGGGCTTAAATGAATTGTAAATGGCAGGAGCCTTATAGATCGTCTCTTGCTAACTTCAAATCTGTCATGATGTCGCCGTTTTCTTTTACGTTACAATATTACATTCGTACTAGATTAGGCTTTTTTGAGTGCCTGTTTCCCTTTTGTTTCTCCTGATCCTGGACTTGGTGAGGACGATCCGCCACTGATTAGTACCGGCTCAGAAGCGTTGATTCTAGTCGGGGACTGCAAGGCCTCCTTGATCAGAGATATTCTAAAAGGTAGTTTTAAATCAAAAAAGCCTCATAATTTCTGTCCTGTTTGTTCCATTGCCGACTCCGTCTTCAAAACAAAGTCACCAAAAACAGCACGAACGGACTGAAAAGATGGTGATATTTGTGCTATCAGAGATAAAAGAGCACTCAGTTTCTAGCACCAGTACTTTTTTCTTTTGGCCATAAAAGGGTCTCTGAGAAATTGAGATAATTTGAAATAAATGGACCACTTGAAGGAATGCATTGAAGGCTTCATGATACTGATTTACAATGAGTCACTAAGACTACCACTAGCCCGTTATCGAACACCTTCCGCCGGGATCAAATATCTTTTAAAGGAATGCGCTGAAAGAGGTAAATATCTGACTACTCTGAAGCATATTATGGGGCCGCATTCCACGCAGTGATTTTAAATATACAGCTTTCCCCATAACGGAGTCATTTTGTGGTCCAACCTCCACTTTGTGTTTCTCAATATACTTCTGACTTGGAGCGATGGATGACTTAAAGTAGTGTTACATTTCAAGGATCAGCGAACGGGGTCTCGATTTCAGCTCTACAATGTTCTCCGACGAGCTCGGAGGTTGCATCACCGCAAGTAGTTACTACTCAACAAACTCCCTGGTGGCTGACATAGTGTAGGACTGTAAAAGCCACTTTTGCCTGGTTTTAATTAGATAATAAACGCCCAATAAGCAGTATACTAAAAGGGGCATTCCATTTTCAGTAACCATTTGTATTAATGGATTTTAGGAGTAAGTCTTTAACAGAGCAACGCTAAGTCGAAAAGGGGAGGCGAACACTGAACCACAGGACTGCATTCGTGGCTGTTCGTTATCAGCTGACGGGTCCGCCCAACATCATGCATTAAAACAGACAGGAGCTGTTCCTTTTGCGTGCGTCTTTTTGAGCCCTCTCTCCCTCATGAGCCTGGACGTTTCGTTACCTGTGGCCAGACGGGACTCCACGGAATGGCAGTCCGGGCCGGCTAGGAGGATAGACGGAAGGAGGGTGACCACCTGGTGAGGATTTCGTCATGCAAGGGGTGGTCGCAAAGGCTCATAGACTCGAGGGTGCAGGACATCTGACAGTAACACCGATTGTATTTGTCTGCTGGAGCGGCCACCTGGTGCGCATGGACGACGAGCGACTACCCAAACGACTCTTCTACGGAGACGTCGCGACGGGTTCTCGCCGTCAAGGAGGCCCAATTCGTCGATACAAGGATACCCTGAAGTCCTCCCTGAAATGCCTGCAAATCAACCCCACCAACTCGGAGGAGCTCGCACTCGATCGACCGACCTGGAGGAGGACAGTGAAGACAGGCGCTGCGATCTACGAAGCCAACCGCATCGCTGCCGCCAAAGCGAAACGTGAAGCCCGCAAATCACAACTTCGCCCAGTAAGCAACGCCGCCGTACAACCGCTTCCAACGTGTCATCGATGTCAACGGACATTCCGGGCTCGAATCGGACTTGTTAGACATCTTCGGATTAACTGCGCCTCTCGAACGGCACCAACCATCGTCCCCCCGCCTGCCTCTCCCTCCTCTCCGCCGCCAACTAACCCACCACTTCCATCATCCTCCTCCTCCTCCTCGCCCACTGCTCCAACGGCGGCCGCTCAGGCGACTGTCCCACGCACAGCAACCGACACTACCACCACCTTCCCCGACTCCAGGGATGAGGATCAGGACTACACCTGCCCTCACTGCGACCGTACTTTCACCTCACACATCGGCCTGGTCGGTCACTTGAGAATCCATCGCACAGAGCCTGGCGAACCAGTGCCTGGAGCACCAACCTATACCCACCGCACTCGCCTCCACTGCCCACACTGCCCTCGCACCTTCACGCATCGCATGGGCCTTTTCGGCCACATGCGCATCCACGACGACCTGCGGTAGACAACCGCCGGCCACACCACACATTCACTCACTCCCTACCTCCTCCACCACCACCATCACCCCACCAGAAATCAAC